CCCCCCCAAAAAAAAATCTGAAGTGCTCCCCTGGGGTAAAATTTCTGAAAGAAACACTGGTCACATTTATTAAAATATTAGTGCTATCATAAGTTTAAAGTTGAAATGTTTTACTGTAAGACCTCAGGACTTAAAAATGTTTTAATTTTCAAGAAAAAATGTGTTAACATGTCCTATATACAAAGTTACATGAAATGTTTATTTTGTTTCAGGATTCTTTAATAAAACAACACTTACTTGGATTCTACTTTTTCCTTACAGTGTAATATTGAAGCTGAGCTTGATTTATCATAACTAAAATCAATTGCAGATTTTCTAATTATCTGGGCTTTAAAAAAAAAAAATGTAAAGACAATTAACATAATTTAATTTTAGAAAAAAACAAGTTGCAATGACAGTAAAAAAAAAGAAAGAAAATTTCTAGTGTCAAATTTAGTATTAAGTAAATTAAATTTGATGCCCCCATTCTTCCATTGATTTTTATTATTACCTTTCAAAAGATCCATTCTGCTTGCTGCAAAGCTAACTCTCTGACACATCACCTTTAAAACATTAGACTTTTCCTCCATAACCTTCATTTGGACTTCATTTTTCTGATAAATCCTTAGAAAAAAAAAATAGAAGTAAAGAAAAAAGTCTTGGTACATGTCAAAAAAAGTATATTAATTAAAAAATAAGGTGCTGACATTTTTATTAACAGAATTTTCAAATGTCTGAGCAATTAACAATTAAATAAAAAAAAAAAAAAAAAAAAAAAAAAAAAAAAAAAAAAAAAAAAAAAAGAAAAAAAAAAAAAAAAAAAAAAAAAAAAAAACTAATAAAAAAAAAAAAAAAAAAAAATAAAAAAAAAAAAAAATAACAAAAATTTTTATAAAAAAAAATAAAAAAAAAGCAAAAAAATAAAAAAAAAAAAAAAAAAAAAAAAAAAAAAAAAAAAAAAAAAGAATCAATACCAGATGCTAAGTTTTGACTAAGTAAAAAAAAGGTTCATTTGGTGTTGCCAAGGTATAATTTTAGGCATATTACACAACAATCTACATGTGACAGTAAAAAGAAATATGCACAGGTTAAATAAAAACCAGAGGACGGTCAATATAAAATATTGTATGTTTCGGCTAAGCAGCCCTCAACAGCTTACTGTTCTGTCAATTCTGAATCTTCACTCAATCATAACCCATCATCCACCCAATTCCTTTCCCCCACACACCCCTCACCATCCTCCAAAATCCTTTCCCCCACACACCCCTCACCTTCCTCCAAACGCCTTTCCTCTACACCCATTCACCATCTACTAAAAAAAAATAAATGTCCCTTTTCCCTAAAGAATCCACTGCCTTTAAACCGGTCGAAAAAAATTATTAATAAAATTAAAATGTAACCAAAAAAACAACCCAAACCCTTCTTGCACATCCCCAACAACTACCCCTGCCCACAAAATACCATCTCACTATTCCAATATCACTATTTCCCATATCGGCTAATTTAAGCCATTTACTTGATGTACATACTTTATTAGTGTTCCATTAAGTTAATCTGGGTTAGCGCACTGAGTAGTTTTGCATGAACTAGTACAATATCCACTCCTGCTAAAGAACTCATCCATTAACCCTCACTCCCTTAAAGGCTTCCAAACCCCAAGAAAAATACCATCTCAACCAATGTCTCCATAGTGCCATAATATAATCTTTATTCTCAGTCATTATCCCTGTCCACTCAGATAATCTATTCCTCTAGTGCAGGGCTTGGGAACATCCAGCCCGTGGGCCACAAAAAGCCAGTGAGATCGTTTGGTTTGGCCTGTCGGTGGAATTTAGAACCCAATAAATATTGGAGTTTTTTTTCATACTAACATTAATTTGTATTTAGTCAATCATAAAAATAACATAAATTTTGAAGGACAAGCAAGGACCCGCAAGATCATGATTTAAATTCATTCCATGAAAATTACATCACCCTGAGAATGCTGAGATGTGCGGGGATTCCATGCCTGAGACAGTCACTAGGGCGCCAGCCCTGATTTATTTATGGTCAGCGAATGATGCTTTAAATATCCAAATGACCCTTGGCAGAAAAAAAGTTCCCCACCTTTGCTCTAGTAGCTCCCCATACACCCCCCCCCCAAACTGGACATACTTAAGAAATATTTATTTATTTTAAGTGTTTTGTCAAGGTGTCTCTTATCTAGGAATTTATAGAAAAAAGATATAACTGAATATAAAAATGAAAAACATTGAAACAATAATGTCAAGTATTATCATTAGGAATAAGAACCTTTCTATGAATTCTGTAAGGCCTTTCACACTGTCCAGGCTGTCCCTAGACTGGTCATCTAAACAAATGGCAACTTTATTTAAATGATCCAACTCCTGCTGCAGTCGCTGAGGAAATAAAGATAGTTATAATGATTAAGTTTTAATTCCAATCAAGACAAATTACATTCAACATCCAGATAAATAAAGTTTCTTTATATTACAGGAAGTTTAAAATATACATTTTACCTCTTTGCTATTTCTTTCCATCTGAAGTTGGGCAGATTTATCTACTAAAGAAAGCTTGAATACTTCAACATTAGCATCACTGGCAGCCAGTTTGTCTGTTAAACCTCTAATCTAATTTTTCAATTTAAAAAATAAATTTTTTGACTTGAATTAGATCTATTTGTTAAAGATATTATTCTAAATTATTTTTCATACGGCTTAATTTATTTGAAAAGATGCAAGAATTTGAATATGATTCCAAAGCTATTAATTATAGAGAGATTTTTTTCATTACACATATATAATTTTCCAAATAACTGTTTTTAATTTATAACTTGTGTAAAAATACCCCCCAAAAAATGAATTTTAAATAATGCTTCTTTAAATAAGGCTTTCAATTTAAAAGAGAAGAGTTAAGGTTCAAATTTATTCAAGTAATATTTTGCATCGCTGAATGAAAAAAATAAAATTCTAATTTAAACAAAGTCCATTTTATAAGGAAAAAGTGATAACTAAATCTCCAACAAAATGTTCAATGATTGAAAAACTGAAATACAATCTAGACTAAAAACATGTTTTTTAAAATACCGTTAAGAGTGACAACTTAAAAGGCATTAGTTCTATATTCTCTTTAAAAAAAATAATATAAATTTGCAAAGAATGGCTTTAAAATATTTTATTAAGTGTCACATTTCAAAACTCACCTTTTGGTTTAAGTTATTCACATCATTCTTGTGCACAATTTCAGAAGATTTTTGCTGCACTAGAAGACTAAAAACCTTTTCTCTCCATCTTAAAAAAATATATATTACTAATTATAATTTAGAAACCTCTTAAAAATGTCTTTTAATTGAAAAAAAAGAGATAAATACTAAAAAGCAGGAATGAAAATAAAAGACAAATATTACTTACCTGGTAATCAAAAGATTTTTTGATAAACCAAGTCCTTCTGTATTGGGCTGAAAATGAAAAAAAACTAGTTAAAATTACAAAATATATTTATGACTAAGGCTTTTACATCTAAACAGGAGATGCCATCACAATTCAAATCAGTTAGGGGTGTGAAATTTTATTTAAGAATGAATTTGAGCACCTAAGAAGCATAGAGAATGTAACTATATATATATATATGAGATTTATAAAGTAAAAGCATAAAGGAAAATACCTCAAATGGTATTGTTTAAAACATTATATTCTGAAATAGATATTAAATCAACTTTAACTGTATCTTAAACTTAAACTCTTTTAAATGAGCAATAAAAGCTTTAGTAAGCTAGCAAATAATTTTCTTAATTGTCTTAACAGCTTATGTTTAGTAGAGAATTTCATTGTTTGCTTGCTAACCTTGCTTAGTTCAGCCTCTTGAACTGCAAGTATGTTACTCAGTGCTTTAAATCGCACATCCATTAGTTCCAATTCTGATTGCAGTTTCTCATTTTCTGCTCTTGCGATTTTCAACTTGTTCTCCACAGTTTCTTTTTCCACCCTCCACACATGGGCAGGCTTGTGAGTTTGCTCTGCTTCTCCAATGTAGGTCTTTAATTTGGAAATCTGGTGGGCCTGATCCTCAATGATTTTAGATTTGTTCCTTCATGCAGGAAATTGAACATTGACAAGCTCAAGACATTAACATCTTCAGTGAGTTATGTGAGGCATGACAGTTTACAACAAACTAGAAAAAAACACCTTTATATTTAATAGGAGAAAAGAGCAACTGGCTTGTTCAGCTTTCATATCATTGGTCATGGCTATTGTTTGGCTTTGTATGGTTGGTCAATCCTTATGTAAACATGGATTGGATGACATTAACACGAATTGAAAGGAAAGAAATTGTTGAGATTGAAAGTATACTTTTTATTTTCTTAAATTATATTATTAGGTCTGTTTTAATTAGACCTACTAATCTTATTGGAGTTGAGCTTAGAAACATCAAATAGGAATTAAGATGGCCTCAGGGGTGGAAAAAGTGGTAGATGTAAATTTTTTATCAAGTTATACTACCACGATTAAGATTATGGCCTAGATATACTTCAGTGAAATGCATTATTAACAGTTATTCCAAAAAATAATTATATATTACCTTTGTTAATCAGTATCCCCAATATATATCAAATCTGTCATTCAATAACCCATGTGACATGTACCTGATGATTAAGGCGGTCCTAATTGATTTCGACTGATGAAATATATATATATGACATGTACCTGAGTTCAACGTCCTGCTGATTTAATGTCCTTTCACTCTCCCTTTGAACAACATTGAGAGTATCTTCCAACTCCTTAACTCTGTTGCTTAGAGCTGTTCTGGTCTTTTCAAGTTTATCATTTAAAACTGATGTCTCAGTTTCTGTATCTTCTAATGTCCTTTGAAGCTCACTGCTAATTCTTGCATACTTGAAATATTAAAATCAGCAAATAGAACATTCTGAAAAAGGGCTCATAACGTCTTTTTCTTTATTAATTTCATAAATGTTAAGATTTTTTTAATATTTTGATTTATCAATCCCTAAAGATTTAGTAAACATTTAGAAAATCAAATTTCATAATATTACATTGGCATAAATTTCCATTACTTGGAGACTTTTAGTTTTGGTAGAACATTTGATATTAAATTTTGCAATACTTACTCTTTGTTCAAATTCATCTTCTTTTCTTTCCCATTCCTTCTCCAATCTTTTTAATTCATGACGGTGTTCTTCTTCCATAAATTCAACTTTTCTATTCCATTCACCCACCTCTTGTTTATAAGCCTGTCGACATTTAATGAGTTCAGATTTCAGCTCTGCTATTTCGCCACCTTGCCTTTTTATCAATTCATCTGCATATTCGTTATGAGGCAATGAAAAAGAAGGTACCTGAAAATTTAAAAAAATTTGAATGGGTTTGACATGTTCCACTGTTGACGCTGGTAAAGATTAGTTTTAAATAATGTTAAAATTTAGAATGTAATTATTTATCATTTATTTGTAAAGGCATTGAAACAATGTGAGAGTGATTTAATGTTCATAATTACAATGAACTTGAAATTGTTTCTAGTTTAATAAGGATCTAATCAATATTTTTCAACATAAGTTACATGAGCTCACTTGAATCTGAGATTGACTCTGACTTTGCACTGATCTTTAAAATTGATTAAAAGAAAAAAAAAATTTGTTAGCAAATAAGATATTTCAATGAAAAGTACAAAAACAGGTAGCCTTTTAAAAACTTAAATTTACAATTTTTAAAATGATGTAACTCATCTAAATCATTTTAATATATTCAAATAATAATAACACTGATGAGTGTAAGTGTTAAAATCCTTTTTTAAAAAAAAAAGGTTAGAAAACTTAATTAGTTGAAATCTTTAACTGTTAAGACATTGCATATGGTAATAAAGAATTATCACAAGCTAATGCATAAAACATATTACCTTAATCTTTCATTTTCTTGACGCAAATCTTCAATTTGCTGCTTGACCTTCTCAAGCTCTTTAACTTGAAATATTTTAGGTTTTTCAAATTCTGATGGTGGAATTAGTACAACATCTCTAGAAACCTTAGGTGTAGCTGGAAAAAAAATAATTTTTGTTAATGTGTAGTATATCAATATTTAATAAATAGCCTGCTATTTCACCAATGTGAATTTTTTTTTATTCTTAAGCACAGAAATTGATTATTTTCAAATATAAACATTAGTTATAAACATTTGAAAATCTTAAAACATATAAAAATATAATGCATATGTTTTAACCTAGCATAGTTTATACAGAAAAATAACACTATGAATAACTGATTGATATAATTTGCTTCTAGAGTTCATTTCTAAACATTTAATTAATAGTTCTATCCCCACCATTCATCTTACATTCGCCTATCGGCTACATAAACTAATACAAAACTTGTATCAAGACAATAGTGAACATGTTACTATAGCTGTACAGCTACAAAAACTAGCTAGTCTGGGAGATCAAGAAATTTAATTAATACTATTCTGCTATTCAAAATTTATGTTTTTCAGGTCTGAAGTGTTATTTACCAGAAATAGCACCATGGACAGTGGAGCGAGGGCAACTGGGTTTTCGATGGCATAGAAAGAAAGGGTGGGTGTTGTTTTCTTGTTTCTGCCAGAAAGACGTGCAATCCCTTTACAGGAGTACATAGAGAGGTATATTCTACAAGGTTCACAAATTGTCTCGGATGGATGGGCGGCTTATACAAACATAAATCAGATCAAACGTGGAATCTATGAACCCTCTTTTATAGTCCATCACCTAAACTTCTTTGATCAAAATGATTCTGGTGTCCACTGTCCACATATAGAATGTAGAAAATATGTGCATGTGCAAAGTGCAAACTGAATAGAGTTTGGTACCAGCAATGATCTTTTCCCTTCTTATTTACATGAGTTCTTATTCAGCAATAATTGTCATAGAGATGATATTTTCAAGAGCTTCATTGTTACGTTGGGCTTGGGGGTGAACAATGGCGACTATGCATAAACTCAAACTCTGTTTGCTTACATATTATTTTCATTTTCATATACTTAAGTGTTTAAGCTTTCTTGGGAAGAATAATTTATGTGCTGAAAAGAATTTCCATTTATTTGGATCAATAAAAGAATGTTATTTGAAGAGCAGACGATGAAAAGCTAGGTTACTAACTTCACTGACTTAGGCTAAACCTAATTACTAAAACTAATATTAATTGAGTAGTAGCCTGATTGATTCGTCTTACTTTTCTGATTTTATGTTAATTAATGACAACTTTGGCTACTTTGTAATTGTATAGACAATAGACAATAGAGTTTATTTTTAAAAATTTTAGTTAAACAAAATTACAAAGTGTCATAAAATTAAAAGCAGAACCAATTAGGAAAAATAGCTACCTCAAAATTCAATATTTTAAATAATGTTTAAAAAATTTTCTTTAAAGAAAAAAAAAAAAGAGTGAGTATATCGGCTAGAGTAGCTACAATTACAATTACAATTTTATCACAATACCGAGAAAATCCGCAGGCTTGTTCAGATTTGCTGCCATTTTGTGTCTAAGAACAACAGATGAATGTCGTTAAACTCTTTTTATTTACTTCTCGTAATTTCAATTCATAAATGTGTTTAGCAAACACACTATATAAAATGGATTTAGGATTCTGAAAAATAAGGTATCCTTTTACAAGTTAACATAGAAATTTAACGGAATATAATTTTAATAACTTAACAGGATATAGTCTTAATTTTTTTACGACAAAAGACACTTTTTATGGCAAACAGGGCTACTCGGTACACAGAGACAATGTTCATTGTCAACAAGATATGTCTCGCAAAATGCTAGAAGTGAAGAGAATAGTCGCTTGATTACTTTTAGATTAACGAAATAAGACGGTAATGTCGCATTTTAGTGTATTGAATTAATCATAAGTGACATAGCCTTTTTTATACAGCGCCATACATTAAAAAATAAATACTAAAAGTAACCTTTTGGACTTTCTGTGCCAAAAAGACGGAGCCCCTACTGTTTACGTTAGTTCACACAAGCCCAGCGCCAGCAGCACTTATTTTGAGAGTGAGTTTGCAAAAACAAATATAAAAAAAAATTAAATGAAGTAATTACTTTACTCATTAGCACTAGCTATATTATATAATACATAATTGTAGGACATTGAATGAACTAGTAAAATATGTATGTAATAAACCAAACTAAAAAAATGTCAAATTTGAGTCATTGAAAACATTTACAATTTATACAAAAATGATCCTGATTTTGCGCACATTTTTTTTTTTACACTTAGAATAAATGATCAATTTATGTTCGGCAAGCCACTTTGAGTTCCTGTGTAGATTCTCTCCCCATTATTTATTAATGGATTGTTACTAGCATTGACTTTTCTTTATCTTAAATATAAATATGCCAATTAAATGGTTTTGATTGGTGGCTTTATTAATATTTCATTGTTTGGGTAGTTATAGTTATAATATTTAAAACTAGGAAGAGAATCCTACACTTACGCAGAAACTCAAAGGGGCATTTTTTTAGCACAGTAAATTATCAATGGAAGCCGCCATTAAATTGGCGAGATAAGCAAAAAAATCCTCATAGCAATCTGATTAGCTGGTATGAAGACCAGTCAGTCAATATTATTATTGGGGCCATTAGATCTGTGTTGGGCCAATATTTCATCCCCGCCGTCTCGAGAGGATTAAGTTACTAAGTAGGGCTAAAAAATTAAAGTGCAAGTTCATTAATCCTTTTTGACTATGTCACATTTTGTGACTGATTCCACTGCTTCCATAATGTGCGAAAACTTGTGTTTTATTGAGAATTTTAATTAACTTTTATTTTCCGGTTTATTTCTATACTGTAATTTGGCATTTTTAAAAGAAATTTTAACAATAAATTATACTTCTGTAAAATAATAAATAAATTGTCTTCTTTCTTGGTATCATCCCTATGTCTTATCATTACGTGATGATATACTATTCTGTTAAGGCTTCATATGTTATCACTAGCATTCAAATATAAAAAAACTGTTTTTTTTTCTGGACATCAGTATTTTCACGCATTTAAGACGCAACCATTTATTAGACGAGTGTTTTGGCGATTTGTGAAAACAAAAATTACCCGGTGAGCAATTTATATACAGTGGTTTCGTTTCCTTTCTCATAAATTAAAATTTGTTCAATGTTTCATCACCCGTCAAATGTAAACAAAGTGTTCATTACCATTTTTAGTTGACAGATAGATCAAAGAATTGTCTGAGGCAGGACGTAATGATTATTGTTTATTCTTATCTGCCGCTGGGCCAATAGCAGATGGGTTGAGGACCTATATCTAGATTCTAGAAACAATAAACCCCAGATGTAAATATTGCTTCATTGATCTGCTATTAGTCTCAGCGAGTGGGATTAGTATCGTACATAAACCAATAAATGCCAGATGTATGTATATAATACATGGGTTTTGACAATTTGTGTAAAAATATTTTACATAAGACGCATCCTTATATTAGACACAGGTTTTGACAATTTGTGTAAACAAAAATTACATAAGACAAACGTGGCAAAGTCATCTTACGCACTGAGCAATTTATATCCAGTGGTTTTCTTTAATTTATCATAAATGAAAATTTGTCCAATGTGTAATCACCCATCAGATGTAAACAAGGCTTCATTATCGTTTTTATTACTGGTAGATCAAAGAATTGGCTGAGGCAGGACCGCAACGATTATTGCTTATTCTTATCTGCCGCCGGGCCAATAGCGGATGGGTTGAGTACCTGGTATTTAGATTGTATAAACAATAAACGCTAGATGCAAAGGCAGCTTCATTGATATACAAATCATTGAAATGAAAGGATTTTAAATTTGAATTGGCCTGATCTGGATTGGTACACGTGGTAATTACTGAACACTTACCTAATTGTTTTTTACAACTAGGCATGAAAATCGGGAAACATGAATATAGACCGCAATAATGGTCCTTCAAAATCACACACTGTACTATTAGTGTGTGTTAAAAAACACTTATTGTATTCTCGCACATATAAGCCGCACCCATATATAAGGCGTGGGTTTTGATGATCTGTGTAAAAAATATTTTACATTAGATGCACCTATATATAAGACGCACCCTTGGTGCGGTTTATGTAAAGCTTTGTATAAGAAGTGTCTTATATACACAAAAATATATTACTCCCATTTCCGTGACTAATTTAATAGTAAACCCCTCACTCCTGGTTTACCAACCTATCTAAATTTTAACTTTCATTTTTTTTTTTTAAATTAACATCCCTATTCTTACCAGACACAATACATTTTCCACAGAAAAATAATGGATTTCTAATTTCTTGAAACAAGTGTCTCAATTAAATACATTGAACACATTTTGTTTCAAATTATTTAAATTCTGCTTACACTATACCACTGCAGTCAACAGTTCTGCATGTCACTTAATTTATATATTAAATATGTTATTTATGAGTTGTTTCCATATTTCAGTACATTTTCAGTACACCATGTTCAGTAAAGTTGGTTCGGATAAAACAAAATTTTTAGAGCACATCAAAGCCGCCAGGGATGAAAGGGCTCAGGATAGAGAGAAGGAAGTAGCAACTGTACGAATTCAGGTAAATAAATCGTTCACTGCATTTTTTTATATAAATCTATAATATTGGGTGGGTGACTTTATTTATAATTTCTGTAATTTAATACTATAATAAAACCACATAAATGTGTAATTTTCAACTATAATTTAAGGCTGCATCTATAGGTACCCGGGTACCTATCATCGCCAATGACAATTCGCACCCGGAGTGGCTCCGTACATATTAAATGGCTTCGAAGCCAAATGTGATAACAATAATAGTATGAGAATTATTTTTTGAAATTGTTTTTTCTCCTTGTTTATTTGATTGATTCATAGTTTTATTATTTTTAGTTGTTTTCTTTATTTTTTGCTTTGTTAATTTCTCTTAGTACCGGTAGATTTTTTTCTTTCTTATTTTCTTTTTTTAGTTTAAGCCATTTTCGGAGATCAATTTTTTTTTTTTAAATCGAGTAATGAAGATGATTTAGATACATTTATTGTTTTTATTTGAATTTTAGAAAAGTAATAATATTAATTTAATTATTAAAATTAAATCCTTTATTTAAGATTATTTATGTGTATTGTTTAAGTTAAAAGATTTAATCACACAGTACTTTATGAATTAATTAGGTATTCTAAATAATGAAAATTTCATTCATAATGAATTAATTTCAACTATTCCTCTAGAGAGCTTGGCTTAGTCAGAGCAAAACTACCAATTTTAAACCTTTTCCTTGGCACTGGGAGTCATACATGCGGACACTAACTGTTATTCCTGATATCTTGAATCTCCTTTCAACAACCTTTCTCATTTGACTTGACCTAATTCACAAGGTAGTTGCAATGAACATCTTAAAGTTAAAGGATGCCATTGTATAAAGTATGAGAA